CAGCTTTTCCCACTCTTTTGTTGACTATGAGGGCTACTCTATTTCTTCTATGGGATTCTTGCCCACAATAGTAGGTATGATAATCATCTGAATTGAATTCGCCCATTCCCATCCATTTTAGTTCGCTGACGCTCAGGATGTCAATGTTTATTCTTGCCATCTCCTGTTTGACCACATCCAGCTTCCCAGGTTCATAGATCTTACATTCCAGGTTCCTATGCAGTATTTTTCTTTGCAGCATCAGACTTTCCTTTCACTTCCAGGCATGTCCACAGCTAAGTGTCCTTTCAGCTTTGGCCCAACCATTTCAATAGCTCTGGAGCTACTTGTCCTTGTCCTCCGCTCTTCCTCAGTAGCATGTTGGACGCCTTCCGACCTGAGGGGCCCATCTTCCGGCGTCATATCTTTTAGCCTTTTGTTTTTGTTCATGGGGTTTTCTTAGCAAAGATAATGGAGTGGCTTGCCAGCTCCAGGTGGATCACGTTTAATCAGAGCTCTCCACTCTGACCTGTCTTGTCTTGGGTGTCCCTGCATGGCATAGCCCATAGCTTCTCTGAATTACTCAAGTCCCTTTGCCAGGACAAGGCAGCAATCCATGAAGGGGTTTTTCCTAATATACTACTTGGTCAGAATCTGTTTTCATTGTAATTTGAATCCATTAGATTGGGTCCTGTCCTCTTGATCTGTAGACTGTAAACTTGCTCCATCTTCTATCTAACTGCCCTTCAAATCTTTCAAGATGGCTCTCATATCAAATGTCAGTTTTCTCTTTTCCAGGGAACATTCCTTGAAGAGCATAGTTTCCAGGACACCTGGGATATTTTCCTTTGCACCCATCCCAGCTTGCTGATATCCTTCATAAACTTGTTTCCCAGAACTGGACACAATTATTCAGGTAATATATACAAAAATGTTAGATTATTAAAATTGTTTTTCTCAATCTAAAATAGATTACATATTCACACTGTATCCCTCCTTCCTAGGCATTAGTAATGATAGACTCATTCTATATAGTATATAATATTGCCATGTGTTAAAAAGACTTTTTAAAAGTTAGGTGTTAGCCCAAGGATAGCTATGCCCAAACTTCTCTGAAGTATTTGGGGCACTGGCTGGGTAGAGCATTTCATGTGTTCTACTTGAGTAAAAAGGTCTCAGTGTAAACTGGTTTTGTGTAGCCTGAGTAGACATAGATGCTCTATTCACTCTTCCTTTAGTATTTGGGGCACTGGCTGGGTAGAGCATTTCATGTGCCTACTTACCTGCTTGTGTAAAAAGGACTCAGTGTAAACTATCTTCTTCTGGTTTTGTGTAGCCTGAGTAGACATAGATGCTATATTCACTCTTCCTTTATTGCTATGTATCTCTAAATTTACACTACTTCAGTAGTTTTAACACACACTTCCATACAAGCTGTTCTCCTATATCCAAAATTCAAAACCAGCTATTCTCTTAGACCACACCACCAGCATTGACTTAAATGAAAAGCTTGCAAATAGGGATTTACTGCTGTTAGATTTCAGAAAATAAGTGTTTTCTATCCTCCACCAGCAAACTAAAACTTGCAAAAAGGGTTTGTCTGCTTCTGCTAGTTTCAGGCTCCACTTCTTTCCTTAGAGCCAGTCTGCTAATTATACTTTCTCGAACCCTTTGACATCAGAGCCACAGGCAGTTCCTACTTGCCAGACAAACAATGCTCCCATTGCTTGCTGACAGGGAAATGCTTGTGTGGGAGGCTGCGTCTGGAAGTACCTTTCGAAAATGGTTTTTAAGGTGTCAGTTTTAAGGCATGCACACTTTATGTGGTACACATGCAGAGGAATTAGAGCAACATTAGCGCATGAATTCAGCCCTTTGAGACTCAAAATGATAACCTGAGCATACTTCCCCCTTTGATCCATGCCTGCCTGCACCTATTTGTGTCCCTGGGTTTTGTTTGGTTTGTTTTCAGTGCAGATAGGATTGCTGTATTTTGATTCTGTTGCAGTATGTGTGATTGCCAGCACTGAACCAAAGTGTTAGCAGCATTCTGCTTATCCATAAACTCAAGCAAGCAACAAAACTTGCCTTTCTCCTACTCCCCTTGTAGAGAGAGAGACAGACAAAGATGCAAAGCAGGGGGTGGGACTTATATTTTTCTTCGTGGTAGTTATTACAGTGGACCCTCGACTTACCGAATTAATCCGTAGTGGAATGGTGGCTGCAGGTCAAAAAGTTTGTAGGTCGAGGCTCCATTGACCTGCAATGCATTGAAAACCAATTAATCCGTAAATGGCCATTTTTGTTCCATCTTGTGTTTTTTTTCCAGTCTGTAGGGCGATTCTCCGGCTGCAAGTCGAACCTAAATTTTGCGCCCAGAGAAGTCTGTAACTCGAAAAGTCTGTAAGTGAAGCTGTCTGTAAGTTGAGGGTCCACTGTACTTTTGAAGTCCTGTGCTGCATCACTTCAGTGTCCAGCTAATTCAGCGGTGTGCCATGTATGAATTACACGCGCGCACACACACATGCACATGTATGCACACAGCAGTTTCCCCCACTCCTTCACAAAGTGGGAGACAGGATGAGACTTAGAAGAGAGTTGTTTTTGTTATTTTTTTCTTTCTCTTTAAAGCGAAGAATGGACTAAGTAGGGTCACTTGGAGATGCAGTGTGGTTTCCTGCCCCGAAACCACCCAGTCCTTGTGTGTAGATCCAAATTTGGCCCCAAATGCCTTACTGAACCTGAAAGTGACCTTTTCTAACCTGATCCAGCCTAGGGCTATCAACTGTCTAGTCAAACCCTGTGTTGTAACAGCAGAATGCCTGTGGGCCTTTCCAACTAGCAGTCAAGATGCTTGTAATGTTTGTGTGTTACTCAAGCAAATGTTCTCAGATAGCTAAACAGCCCTGCACTTTCACTTTGGAAAAATTAACGCAGCATATTACTGTTATTTTCTGGCTCTGCACCATATTTCTCTGGGCTTTTACTGAAACAAATATAGCTAATCATTTTGACAAAGCTCTGAATAAGGGTGCAGCCAAACAGGGTGCTTATTTTGCATTGATCCGTACGCCTTGTACCACATTGTTACAAATCATACTGGTTGTAAGTTTCACCCATCCTTGTTTCTTTTTGCCTAGAATGCTGTAGTTCAGTTGACCTTGCAGTGGGTAATACATTTCTTGGCCTGGCACATAAGTGGATACAACCACAGGTTTTGGACATATGGATTTATCAATTGATTTTACAAAACATAGATTTCATGCTTCTGTTACATATAGCTGTTGATTCAATGTACTTACTTCTTTTTTAAAAAATTTAACAGCTAATATTGTGCTGAAATCATTTAGAAATTGATATAGCAGTATAGCATAAACCTTATTTATGAACTGGAACCATTATTTCACTTAGGATAAGGACAAATTTCTCGTTGTACTCTGGAAACATAAGAAAATTGGTCAACCATCTGTCAGATATTCTTTGATTTGGATTCCTGCATTGAGCAGGGGGTTGGACTCAGAGGCCTTTTAGGTCCCTTCCAACTCCTTTATTCTATGAGTCTATGATTTGATGCTTTCACTGCATATAGCTGCTGATCCTTTTTTTAAAGAAAAAAAGCAATAATGACCAAATGATTTACTACTATATCAGTACAGCGCAAAACTTGTTCAAATTGTCAGTTGATGTACTGCTAGAATCATTGTGCATCCTTTAAAAATAATTATAAAGGAAAATTATTGTTTATTTAATGTCTCAATCTGCATTCTCAAAACGTCCCCCCATATTCTAGAAGGAATAAAAAAATGTTCCTGCAATATAGTTCTGAGGGGGGGAAAAGTAAGTGGAGCATCAATCAAGCTCTATACAGTAAGGAATGGTATTAAAGTAAAGACTTTTGCCTCTTCCTATTGGTTTGCAGTATCATTAAAATAACTTAACTTTAGGAAAAAAAACTACAACAATTTTCATGCTATACAAGTTGATGGTTTAAAAAAGAAAATTGTGCTGCAAGATGATACACATCATCCACTGCAGCATCCTATGCAAAAACAAACATGGTTGTGTGACTCACACAACTAATAAGATCTATGACTATGGAGTACATAATAGGATTAGGATTAGGCATTCTTCAGTCTCAAGAGACTATGGTAACATGCTCTGTATGGAGGACTTGGAGAGTGTCCTCTCCAGAGCACGAAGCCTGGGTAAAATAATATGGAGGATAGGCTGTTACCCAAGCAGCAGATCCCCCCTCTCCACATCGCTGAAATAGTCCAATGGAAAGGCAAGAGCCAATACAACTGGTTCCAGCGATGTCGCAGCAGTTGCCAGAACGACACAAATTTGCCTCTGGGACTCCAGCTCCGGATTTTGCCTCAGGGTTAACTCCTGAAGCCTTTTCCATGAGTGGATATAGCCACAAGGCAGTGGAGGTTTGAAATCAGAGTTTTCCTTCTCCTAGATGGGGTACCTTCCAAGGCTGACGAGCCCCACCTACCTGGCAGTAATAAGTGCAGTACAGTCACCCTACTTTGTCATGCCCTGAGAAGAAATGCCAAAAGGGAAGGAAAAATATTTAATCAAAAATTAAAGGAGTGGGGGGCGGGGAAAGAGTTATGTGAAAGAGAACTGTAGAGATGATGGCTATGGATCTTTTAAAAATAACTTTTAAAAAATACTTGGACTCTAGTTGTTAACATGATATGTTATTGTAATTTCAAAACTAGTTTGGGTTCAGGTAAGCCTTATTGGAAAGGAATAATAATTTTCAGGTTTTATGTCTTACTGTGTAGTCAAGAGCCAGTATAGTTTACTGGATAGAGAGTCACCCTAGGACTTAGAAGGCCTAGGTTCAAATCCACACTCCGCATTGAAAGTTCCTTGGGAGACAGCAATGCCAAACTATTCCTTGAACATCTCACATACCTTGAAAATGCTATTAGGGTTGCCATAAGTGGGAACAACTTGACGGCATATCATAACATCATAACCTTTCATTGAAGGTACTGAGATAAAATTCAGAGTTGTCAAATGTTGTGGGAGTTCAACAGAAGATCTTGATTTGCCTCTTCCCATTGAAGGTGAGGCATGGCAGTGGGGTATTTTAATGGGCTACATTCTTGAAGGACTGTTACCTCAAAATAATCTCTTATTTTATCAGCTATTTCTGAACTTTCAGATTTCATCCACTCTTACGTGCATCTGCTTGAGTTGATATGAATCCTACAAGTGGCAGGAAGAAGCGTCGTGTTGAAAAAAGGAAGAATGAAGGAAATATCCTGCCTTATATGGTATTACTCTCCTTTCTTATATGAAAGTGTTTCTTTGGCTTATCCTGAAGAGGGAATGCCCAATTCAGCCTTCAAAATAACATGTGCAAGAATGAGGTAGTAACAGAATAGATTTTTTGATGGCAGTTGTTGTTGTTGTTTAGTTGTTAAGTCATGTCCGACTCTTTGTGACCCATGGACCAGAACACGCCACGCCCTCCTGTCTTCCATTGCCTCCCAGAGTTGTGTCAAATTCATTCTGGTAGCTTCGATGACACTGTCCAAATATCTCACCCTCTGTCATCCCCTTCTCCTCTTGCCTTCACACTTTCCCAACATCAGGGTCTTTTCCAGGGAGTCTTCTCTTCTCATGAGATGGCCAAAGTATTGGAGCCTCAGCTTCAGGATCTGTCCTTCCAAGTGAGCACTCAGGGTTGATTTCCTTTAGAATGGATAGGTTTGTTCTCCTTGCAGTCTAGGGGATTGCATCTCCTCGAATCTCCTCCAGCACCAAAATTGATGGCAGTAACAGGAAATAACTCTTTTAAAAAACACTCACTCCTTCTGATTAAACTCTGCCACTACCTACACAGAATATAATATGTATTCTCTCTTGGGTCTTGTATACCACTGAGGGCATGCTACTGAGACTGAAATCCAGTAATATGTCTCAGCTGCAGTAGACCCATTGAGTCAATGGTACTTATGGAGGAGTTGACTCGCCAAATCCCCATTGATTCAGTTGGTTTAATCCAGTTGTGACTTACTACTGAATTTTAGCCAGTGAGTTGATTAGTATCCTTTTCCATTATGGCCTATTTGTGAAGAAGGGAAAGGAGCAGTCTGCTTGGTTTCTCCACTGACATCAAGACTTTCTTAACGAGCGTGTTCTTCAGGCAAATACATGAACTCATGTGCATTTTGAGGCTCAGATCAGATGGTTCACTTACCACATTGTTAGGAGCAAGAATTCCTTAAGAGCTGAAATACATGTGATTGTCATTGCACAAGTTTTTATTTAACTCCCATACCTTGCAAATCAAGTTACTTTATTTTGTGATTTGGAGGTAAACCTGGACTTCATTTGCAAGTCTGATCCCTTAGGGATGAATTAAGGAACAACAAAGTCACTGTAACATTAACATGGTTTCAGTTTGTGATAACAAGAGGATGACGACATTCTGTGGAGGTTTTCCTCTTGGCACAAGTACAGTATAGCAGCTTATCTCTGCTTTGGGATGCTGTGGCGAAAGAAGACAGAACTGCTGTGACAACTGTGTTCAACATATAGAAGGTGATGAGGTGCAGTGTTCCTATTCTTGCTTCTCTTTGTGTTTCTCATCCAACTACTTATTTTGAAAAACTGCATCTCATCAGGCTTCTCTCAAGGACTTTCATCAACACTACTAAATTGGAAGGAATACACCAGCAGAAATGATACCTTTGCAATAATCCAATTTTTCTTTGGAAATGGACAGTCCGTCACAAACCTCTCCATATGCACAGGGTGGGGAAACTCAGTCCCCTTCATCCACAGAGGAAATTCAGTCTTTCATGGACCATCACCACCAGATGATGGCTGCCCATGAACTTGAAATAGAGTCTCTGCCTCAGCAAATTACTGACCCAGATTTCCACTGGTTCCAGGCACATTCTGGGGCAAAACCCCTGCTCCTTTCTTTGCTCCATATAGTAAGATGATTGTAGCATTGTTACTGGCAGGGAAGTTGGGACTTCTCCCATGGTTGGGCAAGATGAAATTTAGGTTAAGATGGTCACTCTTCCAGTCTTTCCTCACCACGTTACCTGAACCTGCTCATTTTTCACCATAATACAATCATAACTGTGCCAATGTAAGGCTATCTCTCATTTGAACTTAAAAGGATAAAATCTGGAAATGCTGAGTTGATTTTATTAGAATCAAGTTTCTATTCAGCAAAAAATGATGTTGAGATTGCACTGTTATCTCTCATGCAGAGCTGTTTGTTTCAAATATTATTTTTCTTTTGGGATAAAAATCACCCTGCACAAACCCATCTGTAACAAAGTATTCTGCACAACATTGGTAAACCTTTGGTCTAAATTGCACTTTACAATCAAGAACACTTTCATTTTAAATCAATCTTAAGTTCTGAATAAGGGCAGAATGAGTTCCATCTACTGTAAATATATTTTGCCACTTGGCAAATAATACCTTCACAGTTAATGTCTGTTCTTAGCTCCTCTTTGTTTCTTTTTGCAACATTGCCGTTATGTCAGTTATATGCAGAATCTTTAATAATTGCAGCAAATGATGCTGAGGGAAAACATGATTTGGTTTTCTAGAATGCTAACTAGAAACAGCGTGGGAGTTGCAAACCAGCACTTTTTCACTTGAAAGCAGACATATGTAGAATTGTGTAGGATAGTGGGCTAAGATGTTTGGACAGTTTTTAATGAGTTAAAAACAATTATAACATGTGACATTTTAGTGAATTTCTTGTCTTTTGCTAGCGTGCTAGAGAGAATTCTGCAGGAGGCTCAGATGCCAGTACCGTGAGGAGAAGCCCACTGGTGGAAACTGGAGAAGGTACAAACACCAACAGCATGAGAAGAAATCCTGTGGGAGAAACTGAAGGCCATTGTGCAGGAGAGTCTACGCCTAGCATTGAGGAGTCCTGGGATGAAGAACGAGAATTCACCGTGAAGTTAGGTGTTGATGTGAAGGAACATGTTGTGAAAGGCAAAATCCATGACAGTATTCTAACTGCCCTCAGGGCTTCTAAGGATGTTAGTGCTCTGATGGACAAAGAGAAGGGCAAGAAGGTCTACTTAATAGGGAAGAAAGGGATTATAGGTTGCATTAATTTCGGGATGCCTCTGAAGTACATGCCTGATGGCTCCCAAATTGAAATGAAATTTTACAATTCTAAGAGAAAAGGAAGCAGCGGTCAGTTAGAGTATCGCCAGTATGATGACAGGAGGACAAATTGTGTCTTGTTCTATGTCACCCCAACTGCAAAGAAATATGAGACCAATCAGCCATTATCCCGTGAAATAATTAGATGCAAACAACTTTTGAAAGAAAACTGTGATTTGTGTATCTTTGCACCAGAAAATGAGTCGATAAAGGATGCCTTGTGTAATGATGGCCGCTTTGTGCCTAATCTAAAGGAAGAAGATTGGTATCTAATGAAGAAAAACAAGGTCATATCTAACATTCTTCCAGTTAAACGGATGTCTAACAAGACCTTTTCCGTTCATGTGAAAACTAAGAGACAACCCAGGTCTAGGAAGGGTCCAAATAATGAACAGCTCCCTCTGGCCTCTCAGGAACCGCAACATAAAACTTATCTTTATTTTAACAAAAAGCTGCTGACCTTTTATCCTGACTTGAAGGAACAAAGTGGCATAATTAACAACTTCTTTGAAACTGCCAGGCAACAGGAGAGAAAAGACGTCTTTAGTGTATACAAAGACGTCTTTGGCAAAGAGAAAAATAATTCCCTTCTGGTGAAGGCGCTGAAGCTCCATGCTAATCGCAGTGAATCAGTTGGGTATATCGAGTGGGGCATGATTGGGACAGAAGGGGTTGCCACGTGCTTTGTCCTGTGTGGTAGCTACATACTAACCTGCCACCATGTGGTCAGCATGATAGTTGGAGAAGGAACTGAAGAAAAGTCCTGGGCACACAAAATTAGCCAGCTGGCCCGAGTGACTTTCTCTTATGAAGACAGACACCCTGAGGGAAATGACTGGTTCTCACTTGAGGAATGGTTTGAAATATCGGATAAGGAGCTTGACTTTGCTATCCTGAAACTGAAGGAAAATGGAAACGGAACTAAGATTCCAGCCGGATTGGTGCAGTTCTCTTCTGTTCCTCCATTTAATGGTCTTGTTTACATCATTGGCCATCCAGATGGAGAAGCAAAGTCAGTTGATGGCTGTTGTGTTGTCAGCGTATGGGATCACCAGAAGGAGTGTACTCGTCGTTTGCAGCAGGAATGTAATTGTTTCAACTGTGGTTATGAAGAACAGGGTAAAAAATGCATCCATATGTACAATCCAAGATTACCAGAAATAATCAATAATCCTGCTACGGTTACCTATGATACTTCTTTCTTCCGTGGGTCTTCAGGTTCACCAGTGTTTGACAAAAATGGCAACCTGGTTGCATTACATGCTGCAGGATATCTTTATGGAGGAAAATACAAACAGGGCAGCATAATTGAATTTGGTTATTTAATGATGTCAATCCTCTCAAATATTGAAAAGAAGCATGGATCTTGGTATTGGTCAGAAATCGCTCCTTTTCTGGTGGCTTGTCCTGATGCCAGAGAGGGCGTTGTCCATGATAACCACTTCCCTCAAGACGTGGAGATGGAACCAGTGGAATTGGATGGAACCAGATGACATACTATGAGATTCAAGGTGTGACTGGACAGTCAAATTGTCCTGGGCTGGGCCAGGGTAAACAGAATTGCTTTCAGGTGTGGTATGCCATTTGAGGTGATCCTCAAGTGATCCTATTTAGTGTGTTCTTCCCTTTGAAAGGCAAAAAATAATAAAAACAGAAAATATCCCCCTCCCTAACTCCTTCCTATCTCCACCTCCATGGAGGAGCAAAGTTGCATTAAAAAAAAAATGTAAGTGGGGTATCACTGAATTGACCTGCCAGTTAACTGATTCAGCACTAGATTATAAGGAATTTAAAACAAAACAAACAACCTCTGCATCCTGTCACAAGTCCAACCTGGCCAATCACCTTTAAACGGTCCCCCCCCCCCCCGTTGTGCACGGCAGGATAGTAAGCTGAACACCTTCCATATATGTTGTCTCTGACACATTTTTTGTATCACCTGGCAGGACAAAGTCCCAAATAGAGTAGTCCTAGAATGAGCTGGAATTTTTAGCATGTATACATTACTGAAACAGCGACGTCTACATTGGCTTGGGCATGTTGTGAGAAAGGCTGATGGTCGGATTCCTAAGGATCTCCTGTATGGGGAATTAGTACAGGGAAATCGCCCCAGAGGGAGACCGCAGCTGTGATACAAGGTCATCTGCAAGCGGGATCTGAAGGCCTTAGGAATGGACCTCAACAGATGGGAAACCCTGACATCTGAGCGTTCAGCCTGGAGGCAGGCGGTGCATCATGGCCTCTCCCAATTTGAAGAGACCCTTATCCAGCAGGCCGAAGCAAAGAGGAAGTCACAAAAGCAGCAAAATCAGGGAGCTGGACAGGGGACAGATTGGATTTGTCTTCAGTGTGGAAGGGATTGTCACTCTCGAATCAGCCTCAGCCACACTAGACGCTGTTCCAAGTCCTCCATACAGTGCCTTAAGACCATATCATTAGAGCCAAGAGGTTTTTGAATTGAAACATAAAAATAAGTTCTTTATTCAAATAACACAACAGTTAAAAGGCACTTTCTTAAGCTTGAAGTTATATTAACAACATGTCAACTTTTCTTGACCAGAACCAACTCTCTTTGCTACAAAGTACAGTGGTACCTCGACTTAAGAACTTAATCTATATTGGGACTGCATTCTTAAATTGAAACGTTTTTAAGTCGAAGCACCATTTTCCATAGGAATGCATTGAAAACCATTTAATCTGTATTTGCTCTTTTTTGTTCTTAAGTCGGGGCGCTGTTCTTAAGTCGAAGTGTTAGTTCCCATAGGAACTAATGCAAAGCCAGTTAATCCATATCTACCACTAGGGGATAATTTTTCTTCTTCTTTTGACCTAAGGTGAACTTAGGTCAAAAAAAGGGCAGGAAAGGTCCCCCCCCTTTTTTTTTGGTTCTTAAGTTGAGGCTCTGTTCTCAAGTCGAAGCAACTTTTGCGAATGGAGCCATTCTTAACTTGAATCGTTCTTATGTAGGGATGTTCTCAAGTCGAGGTACCACTGTAAATTGTGTTACATATCCTGATTTGAAACCTAGCCTTCATTTCTCTTGATACAATTTAACTCCCTTGGTCAACTCGCTTGAAAAACCTCCAGCTCTTACCCTTAAAATAAGACAGGGTCTTATATTAATGTTTGCTCCAAAATGCATTAGGGCTTATTTTCAGGGAATGTTTTATTTTTTTCATGTACAACAATCTACATTTATTCAAA